CCCAGGCTTGCAGCGCCAAACAGCTGATTGGCACCGCAAGCCTGGGAGGCGGGAGAAGTGGAGCGGTGACCGCGCGCTCGGGGAGGGGACGTAGCAGAGATGAGCTGGGGTGGGGAGCTGCCGCATGGCTCCCCAGGCCGGGGGGGGGGAGCTGCCATGGCGGGGGGTACCTCAGGGTGGGGGACGGGGGAGTTGCCGCAGGGCTCCCCACCCCAGCTCACCTCTGCTACGCCCCCTCCTCGAGCACTAGTGTAACAGGGCACAGCTTCGAGCTTCATGCTGATTTGTACGAGCAGAGACTCTGAGGAGGTACAGATACCGCCCAATGCATTTCATCACAGCAACTTCCCCGTTGCTTTCTGTGTCTTGCTGGAGGATCCTGAACATTTTAATGTGATGAAAGTGAAGCCTCAGCCTGGCTAGCTGATACGAACATTCCTAAAAGAAGCTCTGGCCAAGTAATACATTCTGTTCTGGAGGTGGGGGTGCCGTGTTAAACACGGTTCCTGTTACAGCACTAAACCGGAAGGTGTGCAATAAAACAGTGTAATGGAATGCAGATTACACTGAATTGCTCCCAGTGCTAGAATTGAACAGGAAATGATTAAATACTCCTTTACTGTAAAGGAGGAAAGTGGTGTGCTCCGAAACTTCTTAGCAATTACCGAGGTTTTAGCAATTCCTTATTCTTACCATGGAATTTGGCTTGAAACAATAAGAATTAACCCTGAGTCCTGAAATCTAGTGTTTAATTAGTATATTGAGTCATTAGAAACATCATCAGCTGGCAAGTGAGATCAAGAGTTCCATGTACTGTGTTAATAATATATCATGGGCTTTCATACATGTCTGAATGCATGACATTTTGCAAAGGCATACCATGCCCACACTCACATTGCTCTGAATATTGTCAGCCGGACGTGACATAGTTGAAACAAACTAGTGACTTAGAGATGAGGCAATGCTGATGTCTTAGGCTGGTCTTGTAGTTAAAACACTAGGCTGGGACACAGGAGATCTAAATTCCATTCTTTGCTCTGTCACAGATTTCCTGGGCCTCAGTTTTCCATCTGTAAAATGGGAATGGTAAATCCTTCTTTTCTCCCACCATTTTTCTGTCATGTCCATTTAGACTGAAAGCTCTTCAGGCCAGGGACTGTCCCTTACTGTGTGTTTATGCAGTGCCTAGCACAATGAGGCCTGATCTTAGTCAGGGCCTCTAGGTGTTACTGTAACACAAATAAATAACAAAAGTTATGCAACTATCAACTCATGCACTATTTAAAAAAAAATCAACCTGCCACAAAAATCTCTCTTTCCACTCCCTTCATGTGAAGTATCCCCAGACCTAAATTTCCTTGGTCTGAGGCCTAGGACAAGCATTAGTAGTGCTGGACTGTTGACAGGTTTAAGGACTAATGTCTCATAGCCCATTTGGACTTGGAATTGAAACTTTGTATCATGGGATAGGAGATATTCACAGCTTTCCACTGAGTGCTTGTGTCTAACCCCGACAGGTCCTGAGATCTAGAACTTCAAGGTCATGGCATTTGCATGTCCAGAAAAGCTATTTGAGGTCATTGTAGAGGACTTTTAAATGGATTGTTTTTCACTTTTTTCTCCATCTGAGCCTTGCTCACTCAGACTCATGGTAACTGTGAAAATTGGGATTTCCATCCCGAATTGGGATGAAAAGACAAAAAAATTTTGTGGAAAGGAAAGCTTGAAAATATTTCAGTTTGGAAATGGTGAAACATTTCTGATTGAAACAAAACATTTTGACATTCCTGAATTCAGAACTGTGCTTTTTTTAATTTGGTGAATGGAACGGAAAACATTTCGTTTCAGCATGGTTCAATTTTCATCTGTGCCCCCCTTATCTGCTGTGATACCTCATGGGAGACGTAGTTTGAGTTGCTCATGCCTTCATTATCCTCCCTGGGCGAGTTTCCCTGGTCAGATTATATCTCACATGAAAAGCGAAAATTTTCAGAAAAAAACCAAAATATTTTGGCAAAATCAACATTTTCCCAAAACGTTGATTTTGCAGAAACTGCATTTTCTGCAAACAAAATAAGAAACCAAACCTAACTATATCAATGGAAAATTCCCAACTCTAGTGTAACTAAGGGAATTGGAAGGGTAGAAAATAGTAGTCCCAACAAAAATTTGAAAGCAGTTTAAAAAGACTCCTGAATTTGTGAGACAAGCTGGCTGAGATAATATCTTTTAATTGGACCAATTTTTGTTGGTGAGCGAGACAAGCTTTCGAGCCACACAGAGCTCTTCTTCAGGTCAAAACACATGGTCTCTACTTG